CTTGGCCTGTATATTTTGGCGAAAGCCCTCTTGGTCTTTTCTTGTGTCACAATGTACTCTTGTCAGATCCATCTGTGTGCGTTACCTTTTACCCCATTTTATGCATCCTGTATATTTTTCTTGCATTTTCAGCTGCATATACTCGGAGTTGCCAGATTCATGCAATTCTCGTTATAACATCCTCATCCGTCTTTTCTGTGCATGCCCCTATGAATTTGCATTTTGCCTAGCCGGGCATTGTCCGGTTGTTCTGGCAGGCGACTTCAACTCGGAACCTGACTCACCGCTGGTCACTGATTTTCTGCTTGGTCAGGGCCTTGATCTTACACAACGCCAGTACAAAGTATCCGATATATCCGGCCAGAATAATACCTCCTTCCGTAACGGGCGCTCCTCTCGACTACTTTCCCCCACCGAAGTTCCTCCACGTGGCAGTGGAATTACCGACGAATGCATATTTGCAGAGGATAAAAGTAAGCAATTTCCCTTGTGGATCTTTCCACATCTTTTTAGATGGATTTAATATAAGAGCAATTTTCTTTCGCCAACTTTTAAAAAAAATTATTTGGTTGCAATTTATTCACCATATTCCGCTAAGATGATAAAGGTCGTTGAATTTTCATACAATGATATGAGTAGGCCTTACGTTTTCATTGAATTTCACATAGCCTTGCTTCCAAAAGGTATTCCCATTCATTCATCACGTCGAGCGGGACTGGAGCCCTGGTTGTGGTAGTGCAGCGTGTAATCTCGGCACGTCAATGACTACACCACATTGCCACCAGGTATGGATTTCAAGAAAGACCAGGTATTTTCCCATGTCACGTTCTCACCTAGACGAGATCGAAAGTGTCTCTAGCCTAGATAAGGATACTCTGGAAATTTCAATGTAAATGTAAGTTCTGGAAAAATTCAATTATCACTCCTTCACTACCCTAAAGAAATAGGGTGAATACATCTCATATATAAGATCTACTGGTAGTCTTGAAAACGTATTTATAAATGAATTATTATTGGGTTGCCTCTCAGTCTTCGTGGCCCAAATATGGTCAAAGATGATTATATATTAAATTTAGAACCCGCACAAGTGGAAGAGGAAAGACGGAAGGGAAAGATGCTTATCTTAGAAAATTGCGACAAATTATTGTGAAACAGGTCAAATAATGTTTAATGAATATACCATTAAAAGGCATAAATGCTAATTAACTTTATTCGGCGACTGCTTCCTTTGTCCCTTATGCAAAGTTTGTAAACTTACTCTGTCATTGACAATAACAGGTCCAATAAGATCGTTACGAATAGTGGCTGGGCTTCGATGAATTTCTTTAGTTAAAATTGTTGTTTAGGCTTCCATTTCCTAGTAAAGTATGCCTGATGAAGAAATTCGTTGGTATACCTCACCAAAAGACGATGGCTGATCCCTGTAGTTCTGTAGCTTTTTGGTTTTAATACGACGTTCAAGTTGACGCAGTCTACAATGCATCCTCTATTGTTTCTTGTAAAGACTAGCAAGATGGAGATTCGAGTAAAAGCTGAATGCACTTGTTCACGGACTGAAAGGGTTAAGTGGGATCAGCAATTTCGTCAACTCGAGAGCGGAGATGGCAAGGTAAATAAACAGGTGTGATAACGCTCCACTAAATCCTCAAAAAAGAGCACATCTATGAAGGAATCGAATATAACAAATTCAGAAATTGGGATAGTGAGGGTGTGGGTTTCTAGGATAGGGAGCTGTTAGATGTACAAAGACGGAAAAACGAGGAGAGACAATCTTTCGGCAACAAGTCAGTCAGGAATTTACTTCACCTGTCTCGGACAAGTTGTAGCTTGGTGCTGAGAATGACAAGACTCACTGACGATGCCGACGTGACGTTTGGGAATGTACCAAATCCACAGTCCATTGCTGGGAATTATGGTACCTACCATTGAAGAAAACTTCGGATGAGGTGCGTTCAACTAGGTAGCCCTGACAATACGGCCAAGTTGGGAAAACGAGGTTAAACCACCTGTATGCAGTGAAAGGACCACTATAAATATGGGAAGCCAAGTGATAGAAATTCAGACATGGGTTGGGCTGAACAGTTATTTCTGCTTTTATTGATAAGCCTTACTTCCTTTATCTGCTCCCCCAGTAGGCGCTGCTTCCGCCAACATTGGCTCTGGAACCTTGACGCAACCATTTAATTTTCAGTCGACGAACACCTACTGGTTGGACGTCTCTGCTCTGAAGGCCCCCCGGTCTTCCTGTTCACCTCACGAGGCCGGTTCAGACTCGAACCACCTTATTGTCCCCTGTGGAGAAGTTCCGTCCTCCCACCTACTGCTGCTCGACCATCCAGCGCTCACTCGCCCCTTAAAGCCCGGCAATCGAGGCTTCGGCCGTCTTGTCACTTCGTTCACCAGCGCCAACACCTGCGCCGTGGACTACATTCTCTTCGCCAACTCATCGAGCCAGTCGACGGCTACAACTGCTTCCGCCTCGATGGTTTCGGAATCGAGACCAGCCTCAGATTATGGCACTTTACGCCTGGTTTCTCACTGTCTTCTCGTGGACCCTGCTACCCTACACTCTGCTGGCGGCCTTCCCAACGCAGCTGCCGGCTCAGATCATATCCCACTTACGGCCACATTTGAACTTATCTAGCCCCTTACCAACCCATTCATCAGCCATATTCGACCTTGCATCGAAAACTTTTCTGAAATAACCCGAATCGCTAATGCTAGAGCTTAGCTCCAGTTGATCTTTAAGCAGACCATACTTCAACTTTCTTGCTCTCCACCATGGCTTATCTAAGACGACTTACCTGCCTTCAGTTTACGCCTAACTGATCCACCAGTTATCTGTCCTATCAACTTATCTTCAGCTGCTTATTTTCTCTTCTTCATTGTTGCTTCTCCGTCGGCTATTTTATCTTTATATATACATCTGTATGTGTGTGTGTTATTAGTGTCCGCTTTTTTATATAGGGCTCCTAATGTTGCCAGCCTAAGTCTGCTATTGTTGTTTGTTATGAGTGAGGACCGGAGCGTAGCCATAATTGTACTCTCGGCTACTCGTCAGGACACGATGCCTTCAGGCAAACCAATGCTGGTACAGAGACCTCTCTTCACGCCTAGTGATATCACCAGCACACATTCGGTTGATATATGCATGCCTTAGCCACCTCTACCGCCTGGAGCCTTTATGCTACGCTGCTCTAGCCTCAGCCACAAGATTTTATTTAGTTATCAACAAACTTAAGCGCCTTTTCCTGGTCATGTGATTTTTAGATCATGCTTCGTATCCTCACTTTCGAGTAATTTTGATATTCACCTCAAAATCATCTAGAGGTCTTTTAACCTTTTCACTCACTTATCATTGTAACTTTGGCTAACGATCGTGAAATCTTCATATACACTCACTTTGATTTACCGATTGTCACATAGCCACTCAAGGATTATTATTATTATCATTGGGTTTACCTCTGCTCACCAAGATGCTGGATTCTTCTTAGTCTGGAAGTGTGAGAGGGAGCGGCTTAAGATCCATTAAAGGAGGAGAAGAGCAAGATAGATTCCAACCAGAAACCCAGGATTTTATTTCTCCGGTCAAGCACCGTACGCCAAAACTTCTTCGAAGTTCAAGTGGATTTCCATCTCTACCTTTTATCTTGTATTCTGTAAGATCAAGATCTTAGTATGGTGATCCTTTATGCTTTTTTGACAATAAAATTATATTAATATTTCAAATGATGTTGCACAAGCAAGCATAATTCGATACATATAAAAAGAAGCTGGATTTCGAAGAATCTTTTGGTAGATTGATACTGGCATACCTTCCATTTCGTTTTAGAAGGCAAGTGGAAGGGATTTTACTAAGGAATACATTTTTAGACGGAGACTATTTAGTTAAAGAAGAACAAGCTGAGACCTTTTCTCATGTCCTAATTTTGCTACCATGCCTTTTTCTAAGAAGATAGGCCAATTAGTGGGAAAATATGGGATAAAAACAGTGTTTAAATAAGCCCTTACTTTTCTGTTATACCATCTTCTACAGAGAAATATTTTCCACTATTGAGATCCGGCCACCATCCAAAAGAAGGCGACTCAACTTTTCTACTTAGTGCTGGTTCTAACTTAAATTACACTCATCCAACATGGTAGATTAAGCTCATTTACCAAACTAGACTTATCCGATTACGCAGCTCTATTCATGTCTTTTCTTGGATTGTTAAACCTAGACGGAGAGATTAGGACAGGTGGTTTCTTAACCTGATTTACACGCTTACAAGCCTACATCCCATTAGCATAACCATGGTTGCTTACGGACTGGTCAGGGCTTTTTTTCGGGCCATTAAGCCTTGATGATCAGAGCCTGACATTAGCCTTTTTCGATCACTCTCGTGTAGAACCTGTACTGTGCATAGACACACACTCGAGCAAAAGTAGCAGGACCAATATGAAAGATGATTAGACAAAGCATCTCAAATCCATCTATACCTATTCATTTTAGTTTTTAGTTATGAGTCTATATAAGAGGTAAGATAGAGCTGGATAGTGTTCTTGACCGAGTGTTAACGGGAGACTTGCAAGAATCAGTTCCAGCTCATATGATGGACAAAAGCTCAGCCGGATCTCACCCAAAGCAGGGGAGGATGTGTAGTCGACTGCGTCAACTTGAACGGCGTATTGAAGCCAGTACAGTATAACGGGAATAAGCCGTTCTCTTCTGGTAAGATCGACCTTCGAATCTCCTCTTCATGCACTTTCATACGAAATTAAAATCTCTCGGACAATTTATTTCTGTAGATATTGGGGCCTCTATTTCGGTCCTAGTCTCGTTTCTATTTGTGGTACTCATTTGACCTTGTTTTCGTAACTTGTTCGCATTCGCTGGAAGACCTAGAGGAACGCATCATGTCCGGAGTTTATAATGTCCATGCTAATCTCCAAAATCGGACCGCGGACTTGGTACATTCCCAGACGTTTCGCTGGCATCGTCAGTGATTCTTGCCATTCTCAGCCCCTAACTACAACTCGCCATATAGACAAGTGAGTTTAATC